TAATAAAAATACCATGGTTTTTACATATCAAATCACATTAGGCCGACCAGCCCTCCTTAAACTAATGTTAGAATACCGCACTTGCGGCGGTAAAGAACAATTAAAACCTCATAAAAAAGGCAACTAATCCGTTTACCCATAATTGAATCCAAGGACACCAGTGTTAAACACTCAGTACTTATCCTTGATAATGTGTTAATCCAATTAATATAGTGAGATAACGTAACGTTAGTTTATTGAGGGCGGGTTGAGCTAATGCAAATAGAATATAGATACTAATAGATCAATCAGCAAGATATATAAGACTTACTTTAAGAAATGTATTAGAGCAGAAACAAAATGGTCACAAACATCACACTTACTACATTTTGAATATCCTTGTTTGCTCCTGATTCAATTAGAATTTTGCAAACATCAATATGACCATGGAAAGCACTTCTGTACAATGCCGTTGACCCATACTACAAATTATAGCAATATACATAAAAATGGAGAATAAGTGAGCACGTTTTCTTTATAATCACTTAGCACTCTTATGGCATCTAATACAGATGGAAGTAATACAAGTATAAATACATTCAATGCGGACTTACGTAGGAACGTCATATTTCAAAAAATATAAAATAGCACTCCCAACACAAGGTATATAATATGACATCTCTATACCCATACTTGGGAATATCACACACATTTTTCACATATAAAATTTGATAGTGTGGACAGAATTTTAAACAAATGTGAATATTCAATGATTTGTATTATTATAAGTCTTTGCCAAAATGTGTATCATAATGTGATGGATATTTATAGTAATGTAAGCGAACATACAAGTTGTGTTGCCCTCCCGAACGACCAAAAAATTTCCCAACAAATTTTTTATTTATTCATTTATTTATTTTAATTTTGTTTAAATAAAGATGTCAAAAAGGTGAAGGTCTTTATTCCTTTCGCTGACATATTCCTTGCTGAATCAAGTACAAATTTGAGAAATATACTTCCGAAATTATTAACATTTAGGCCCTGAACATAATATCTAAAAACAGAAATATTTTTATCAAAATCTGGCCATAGCTGCATGCGCAAAATCGGTAAAATTGAAGGTATGATTTTGAAAACCGAGAGACCCGACGACGAAAATGTATGCACGAAACATCAGATCTCTCGCCGCGCTGAGCTGTCAAACCAGACCAGAGTTCTAGGCCTAGGCCCTAGCCCGTTCTTTACTACTTACTGAACTGTACAAATTAGCAAGTGGTTGCTTGAATCAAAAATCGTATTCATTACCTTACGGTATACTGTATTGCCATTGGACAAATAAAAACAGGCTTTGGTCTAGCCATCACTTTAAAGCCGGTACAGAAACATTTTAGGCTCCGTTACGGTTTATGCCAACCATACAAAATATTTTTTCTATTTTTTTAATTACCTGTATTTAAGTTTATTTCGATTGTATTACACAGAGGGCGCTTGTTTGAAAATTGTCCATAGCTATAGTATGGTTTTGCTCGACCTGCGCCCATGCATGATCGTGTGGATCGGGGATACACAAATTATTTTACGTTTTGAAACCAAATAAATCTTTTTTTTAAACTGATATATTTTTGATAAATTTATTTCAATGTACACTTGGTTAATATTTATTCCGTCATTATATTTTTTTGTTTGACAAGCTTGCCATCGTTCTATTGTGGTGCCTACGAGGCCTAGGCTTGGTGTTTTCATAAATAGGGACCCTGGTCAATTTGAAGTCTTTCCTATCTCAGGTACCTGTAGGACTATTACTAAAAATACCCACCCCCTCCCCCCCCCCTCAAAAAAAAATAATAATTAAAATAAAATTTAAAAAATCCGACCGACGAACTCGATTTTATTTCCCCATTCAAGGGCACAACAATTTTTTACGTACGTCATCTTGAGCATCAATGGCCGACGTTGAGATTTTTCTTACAATATCTGTTACCAAATCTCTTGGAATGCCTTGGTTCAGACTGATACCACCAAACTAAATTGATTTAAAAAGAATAAAAACAAACAAAGTTGTCATTAGACACAATTAATCCGTTAAAACAAGGCCATATTTATAAGGAATAGGCCTATCTAAAAAGTATTGAATGAGGCAGAGTGAAATAGATAAATGCTTACATTTGAAAACTTGACAGATTTATGTTCAATCATTAGTAAGATTAAAAATTCCCGGCCAATTGCTGTCATATACAACATAGTACATGAAATTTGTAAATTTGTATTCCAGCGCTAGGAATACACAAGCTATACATACAGATTTTTTAAAAAAACAAGACAACTGTAATATATAAAACAATACATACAGTGCAAGAAATATGTAAATTACATTTAAATTAAATACATGATACAGGAAGTGATAAGGGATCAAAACGAGTTGTATACCGTAGAGGTAAAAAGTTTTTAATTATTTGACAATATAAAAGAAATAAAACGAAAGGTACTAGGTAAATACAACTTGATTTTTTGCTTCGAACAAGGTATCCATTCATAAGCGCAGATAAGCCTATTTCATGTGGCTTTAAACTAGAGACCAGAACATAACTTTAAATTGGACAAAGGTTGAATTATATGTTAACATAGAACAAGTATACAGAGACTAGCCCATAAATGTAAAAAAAACTGTATTTAAAAATTAAATAAAAATGTATGTGTATTCTGTTGGTAATTATGATATACTTATATAATAATCATTTTGTCATTTGTGCATCACATGTTTGTGAAAATCTGTTGGCACTATAGTAATCATCAGAGGTTAAGGTGCCGGCAGCCTACACGTTTCATTCAGACATCGAACACTCACCTGACGTGATTTCCAAAATTACTTTATATGAAAAAAGGTTTGTTAGTGTAGTTTATAAAGTTAGTAATTATAAAGCAAAGGTTATATGAAAAATAAATATATCTTACCATAAAATTCTTTAACAGTATATATAACAATAAAATAAAGTTTAACTACAATTAAGCGTCTATAGTGTTAAAAAGGGACAAGGCAAGAAGTCCTGATATTGTGTGACAGTTGAAACAATGTTCTGAAAGTCAAAGATACTAGAAATACAAGATAGAGCACTCGCATAGCAAAAATGAGGCGGAAATTGGTCCAAACGTAAATCAACGGTTGAAGTTGCCTTTATCCAGTATCCGTTCGTGTATAAATCACCCCTACTAATGAAAAATAAAAAGTAAAATAAAATGAAAATAAAAAGTGAATAAATTAAAATGGTTAGACTTACAATCGATTAAGCGATAGTACTCCATCAATGTTATCACAGACATAAAGTCAAGTCAAAGTCTTAAAAAACTATTTCAATGTTTACATTATACAGTACACTCGGCTGCGCCATGCTCTATTTGTAACCAGTGAGTTGCGAGACGTTGGCGGCTCCGTTTTCATATACTGTC